GTAATTGTATGTGTTCAATTTCTGTATAAGTTTTAGTTTTGAATTTTTAAATGTAGTTAAATTTAAATAGTTAAATGTAAAATATGGTAGAATTTGATAATTAATGAAAGGAAAAATGCAAGATAATAACAGAGAATAGTTGTAATGAAGGAACCAAAGGGATACGAGCGAGCTTAGAATAGGCTTCCATATTACTCCGACAATATTATGTACATATACATATGCGGTTTTCCTAAATGTTTTCTTTGGTATTATTTAATATTTAATTGTATAGATTACAGCGATATTATTATTAAAATTTGTATTTATAAGGGTACTTAACCAAATAAAAATATCCACAATGAAATATAAATCAATGTACAATTTATAATATTTACTTTCACTTTGTGTGAAAATACTTATATCTGATAAGTGATAAGAGGGTGATAAGTGAAAGCTGTGTGATGTGTGGACCGCACCAGATATTTTTAAATTATTTTCAATCAATAACTCTACTGTTGGGAACAATACTAGTAGTAACATTGACCGGCGTTGAGGGAGGGGAGTTCTCAGCGGAATCCCTTCCTATCTTGATTTTAGTATACTTTTTTTAAGCTATGAGTTCTCTTATCTAGCTTCTTTCCAGCCTCCTAAGCGTGTTTTCGGACATATTAATCGTAGCCCATATACTAATCGATATAAACTTCCGCTTAGCCGATTTTAACAATAAGGGTTGCTGTAACATCTAAGGTATATACAAACCTTAAATATACAATTTCACTTTCATAAGACTTTTCGTTTTTGAGCTAAACCTGTAGCAGTCATACAGAGATCATTTTGCGGGACTTTGTTATTTGGACTCAGGAGACCTCAAAACATGTATTCCCGTTGAAAACTCAGATTCGAAGATTTTCATGTTCGTAATATTTCCCCTTATTATATATTTCATACATAGGTAAGTGAAAGTAAAAAAGAATGAGAAAATTTTTGGCGTTTCCTGGAAACTTTTTATTGATGGTTATGGTTCACTTTGGAAATAAATGACTCATTTTGATTATTCCTTTTCAGAATAGCATCTTATTAATCATTGCACGAATTGTGGCATACTAATCTTGTATGAGTTTGTTAGTACATTGACATACTGATTGCTCGGTCTCACAACATTACTAGAAATAAATAAATATCAAAAAACCAAAAACATACGGTAATGAGAATTTATGTGCAATTTTATTAGTTTAATTCTGCTTATCCATTATATTAAGGCTAAGGTTATATCACTTTGTAATTTAATTATTTTTTGTTATATTACGCCTGAATAATGGTCCTTATATTTTTCATTATTATTATTATTTTAGAGAACTAATTTTCCTAAAATAACATTTACTTTTCTTCTTCTTTTTTATAATTTTTTTTTTTTTTATCTTTTTATAGAGAAATAATACATTTTGCCACATTTAAGGGCACTGAGTACTAAAGCTGAGTGAGGCTCATTCATACTATATATACAATGCAATAAAAAATAAAAATAAAAAATATATATCTATATAACAAAGGTAAAAACTATAAAACTAAAGAAATGTAACTTGAATTCAAATTAAAAAAAAATAATAATAATAATAAGTAAAACAAATAGATATATAAAAAAGAAAAACATTCATACTTTATTTACAATCAGGCAAGGGAGCTCCGAGTCCAGCCCTTTCCTCCACGTGTGAAGGACAGAGCGAGACTCTAAGAGATCCCAGCGCTTCTCTCTCAGCTGCGTCACCAGGAGTCCAGTGGAAACTGAGAGAGGGCACTAAAGCAACAGACGCACATGACGTGAGTGGAGAGGCTGGCCATTGCCAGAACTCCAGTGACAGTCTTTACAAAAGGTCTCGAGGCCACTGCCGTTTCAACCTTCGAGGAGGGTTGTAGGGGTGACTGGAGCTGGATAAGGATTGTGCTAAGGAGTTAGGATGGTGGATTAGGTTCAGATGAGAATTTGAGAATCGAGATGGAATAACGTCAAGGACATAAGGGATGTAAAGGTCATGATGTAAGGTTTTGTTTGTAACATAATAAGGAGCATTGACTATTATACGGAGGACTTTAGACTGAAAGGATTGGATGCGTTTGATGTTCGAAAATTTAGTTGTCCCCCACAGTTCAAGTCCGTAGGTTCAGATGGGTTTGAGTATTGTCTTGTATATTAATAGTTTGTTTTCTATTGAGAGATTGGATTTTCTGTTTAGTAGTCTGTATAGCTGGCCAAATCGTCGGTTAAGTTCTTGTCTTTTAAGTCTGGTATGTGGGTTCCAAGTTAGTTTTTATAAAAATAGAATTGCTGTATAATAAAAAAATTATTGCTGTTATTTTAAACGAGCTTTATTTCGATGATGATATTGTAACTTATTTTATTTTACAGCAAAAGAGAAAGAGATGGTGACTAGGCTAACTGTGGTTCCCTGGAACACAGACCAACATTGTTGATATATCGTTATCTTCCAGGCTCCTGGAAAACTGCTCCCTGGAAAAATCACATAGCCCCTTTCTCTAATAATAAAAAAAAAACTTTTGTTTTTCTTTTATGTTATTCCGCCCTGATAAATAAAGTGAAATCTCGTGAACTATAAAAAATCACAAAAGTTTGACTCTTCTTGCCTATATTATTCTCCATCGCCTGACGATCCCAATTAATTTATTGAACTGTTTTAATTCCGCTTTTCTATTTATTTAAAAAAAAGTAATCAAATGAAATTGTTACATTTTTCATCAACTGACTATAAATCCTTAAATATATTTCTGAATTCTGAAAATAATTTTTTTGTGTTTGTAATTTATGGAAATGATCAAATTCAAGTTCGTAAATATGTTATTTCCTAATTTATTTTTGTACTTTTTATTTATAAAGAAATATAATAATCTGTCGTGTGGACAATAATTATAGTGAGATATAATTAATCTATATATATAAAAATGAATGTATGTCTGTCTGTCTGTTTGTCCTTTGTGCATTACTAAATCATTCATGTGATCGCCAAGAAACTTTGGGAAATTGTTCCGTACACTCCTGGGAAGGTTTCTGGCATAGTACTTCTGTCTTACGATAATTTTATATATGTAAAAAAAATAAAAATGTAAATGTTTTTCTGTCCAAAGCCGCAAAAAAATGTGTCGCTATAAACTGTAGCGCCAAAACGGCTTTACCGATTTTAACGAAACTTGGCTAAAGTCTTCCTCTTGCAACTCGTTTAATTTATGTGCATAACATACTTTCCCGAAAACAAGCTGAAAAATGTTACGATGAATTCAATATTCTATTTGACGATAACTAAAAAAGTACAGTTTTTCTTATAATACCAATATTTATATGAAAGATTTCTGAATTGCTGACAAAATTAAAAAAATCATTGAAATCGGACGGTTCGTTGCAGAGTTATAGAGTTTTAAACATTTACTGCTTTCTCCCAACTTTTTAAACATGACAGATGTCCTTTGCTATTAATCTACTCACATGTGCTTTCTATTTTCTTTGTTTTTCATTTTGCCAGGCTAAGCCACAGAAGCGCGTGGCCGGGTAAAGTTAGTAAATTCTAAAATTTCGTATATTCATAGGATGGGTTATTACTCAACTTAGATCTTGGAATTTCGTATTTCCATTGGATTACTACATTGCGCAAACGATTGCGAAGTTCTTACTGTTATATAAATGTTCTTTAAACCCTGTGCTAATGATGAATACAAAAATCAGCTATGACAATGTGAGGTTTTGTTAATTATCTGTCAAATTCAGTCACTAAAGCTGTGCCAAAAAAGGACGAGAAAAACATCCTACCTATAAATAAATTTATACCTAAAATAATCCATTCGTTTCCGTTATGGAGGATAGTAAACGAGAAGTATAGAAAGAAAATGCGAAAGAAAAGATTCAAGAGGAATTCAAACTATTTTGTGGCTCATAATTGATACTGATACATTGTCTCAGTATTATGTATTTTGTTATATCTCAATTTACTTGTTGGCTGATTTGTTAGAAATATAAATATAAATATAAAATCGTCATTATTCTGGGACTAGGTCCCTTGAGAATAACAATATTGTTTAATCCAATTGACAATAGATCTGGCTAGATAACCTGTTATAATAAAGAGTTACTACAATCTAAGTAATAAAATGAGTATATACCTAGTTTTGGAGAGTATATTAAGGAAAGCAGATGGGTACAATAGTTACAATATTATAATATTGGTACAAAAAACAACAACTAAATAAAATTGCAAAGAAATGCTAAATAAGTTTTATAGGTAACCAATTTTATTGCTACAATATAATAAAAATAAAATAAAATAAGAATAACTATAATAAATAAATGATTTATATATGTTCCTTAAGACGTTAAGTGAAAACATGTGAAGGTATTGTGAAAAATTAGATAGGTATAATAAATGTTATGCATTTCTTATCAGTTTTTTTTTTAGATTCTATCAATGCCCTCTTAATAGTTATATATAATTGAAATTTATAATCAATTCGCTAAGTAACGTTATATAATACATTTTCATTTTTACAACTTAATAGTTACAAAATGTACTTTATTTACTGGTAAACAAATACAATAATACCGGTTGGTCATACCGAATTGGTTTTAGTCTATATATATATTTTTTTTTAATGTTTATTGAAAATATTAAAATCTGTCTCAAAGGACATTTATAATAGTGTTCAGAGATCACATTCACACTCTATGTACAATAATAATAATATATATACAATATAGAAGGATGAAATAACCTAAAAATTAATAAATAAAAAAAGAACACAAACATACCTATATACACTATTTACAATCAGACGAGAAAACTCCGAGCCAAACTTGTCCCTCCAACTGTGGAAGGAAAAGCATGTTAGTCTATATTAACTCAGAAGATCCGTCATAATATAAAACATTTAATTTTCCCGATATCTTGCATAACTAGAAAGTTTCTTAGCGATTTTTGTTTTGTTTTTTTTTTTTTTTGTTTCTTTTCCTTTTTCGACCAATGTGCGCTGCTAGACTCGGGAATGTTAAAAAACGGTCAAAGCTAATTAAAGCTCTGCCAATATGGCCTCATTATTTACTCTACAATTATATAATATAATAATAAGTTGATGTATAATTAATTATGTTGGTTTGTGCTCTGTTGCAGGTGGCTCTGAGCGTGGCCTCGCTGCTCCACCTGCTCGCTCACTCCCCGCTCGGCTCGCTGGCAGCTCCGGACCTCAAACGGCAGCAGTTCGTGCTGGTCGGCGGCCAGCTGAAGCTCACTGACGCCGACGACCTCAGGATCTCCGAGCCCAGGTGCGACACTCATGCGGACTGCGTATCACATACTGGATCAGGTACCCGATTTCTATAATTATATATATATTTTTTTTATTTAATTAAACTTACTACTATATACAACCAGTAAATACAAATTAGAAATAATCACATGATCAGGCTTGAAGAGATACTAGCCAGTGATAGCACTGCCTAGGAGGATTATCAGGAATCGAGGAAGAAGCAAGGCTGGAAACAAGTGGATTCTGATGAAACTGCAGTTTATCATGAAAGGATAGATATCTGGCTAGGGATAAATTAGCAATCATGTGAAACATTAGGTTCTTTTATGAATAGTCATGTATGCAAAATATGGGGTATTAATGATTTTACGAAGGATTTTGGATTTTAAGGATTGGATACGATAGGAATTCGATGGTTTTGTTGATCCCCAGAGCACAACTCCATATGTGCATATAGGTCTTATTATAGTTATTTAGAGGAGTCAGCTTGGAGCAATCCATCTGGAAACGTTTATTTAACAATGAATGCCTCAGCAGATAACTCGAAAGAAATAGCCCAAGACAGGCAAAGATAAGGCGGCAAAAGACAGAAAAAAGTAAATAAAAACTAACAGGTTAATAAGAGACATGGCTACAGCTCATAATATTAAGATACTAAAAAGGCGTTGGATGAGAGATCTTTTTCCTTAAACTGCGTAACTGTATGACTGAGTCAACCCTAGAATGGGGTAATGCTGGGTAGTCCTTCCTCATACCTGATATATCGCCATGATTTCAAATAGGTAGTTCATTTGCTGATCCTCAACTGACAACAGTTGACAAGTGGAAATTAGTGTTAAGAGATAAAATAAAATTAAATAATAATTCATTTAACCGATGTTATAAAAGTCGTTATGTAGGTTTTTGTTATTTACGTACTATGGTATTAGTCTTTTAATACCATTTTATAAAATTTTAGATTAAAAAAATTGTAGTTTCTATAAATGCGTCTTTTTTGCTGAGCTATAAATCTGTGAGGGATTTATCTACATGGACCTAAGTAGGTATTTATTTACTTCCTGTCCAATTTTCAATTTAATGCTTTGGAAGAAAGGAGTACAATAATATTGGGGAGAGTGGGGTAGCTCAGTGGTAAGGTACTGAGCTTCCAATACTAAAGGCTCCAGGTTCGAATCCCGGCTCATGGCAGAACAATTATTTATTCTGAATCATTGGCGTGAGGCGACCCTGGGTAGATAGACCCTCCTGGGGCACACCCAGCCTCTATAAAGTGGGTGCCCTTAATTATAATAAATAATTTATGGAAAAAACCTGGCGGTTGAGCTTGATCTCGGTCAAATCATCTTCTTGCACAGCCGTATACCAATAAACAGTGCTTTCCCTAAATAGTACTGAACCCAAGATCCTTCATGGGTTGTAGTGGTACAGTTTTTTTTTTTTTTTTTTGTATGATATTTCCTTTTTCATTTTGATCTGTGGATGTTGTAATATGAGTAACTACAAATATAACTACTATAAAGGATAAATGTCACTGAAGGATAAGTGTTACTGGTAGTCGATAACCTTTGAAATAGGTGTAAAATGTAACCAGCGAGTGGTCATACATCGCGAGGGAAGCGTGATGTAGCCATTGATTGAGGGTGATGTGGTCAGCAACTGATTCGAACCCTGATAAGAAAGTAGTGATAAGAATTATGGCCTATTTAGCTTCACCCTCCCTATCTCCACCCTTTGTGACCCTGCTCTCGATTCTATGTGGTGTATGAGCTTTGTGTGGTACATTTCGCCTTTTTTTTTTTTTTCTTTTTCTTAGAAATAAATTATAATGTAAATTTAAATATGTTAAGTAAGTGTTTAATATTATTAACTGTGTAAAGTGTAAAGTTAACACGTTGTAAAAATTATCAAATCGTATATTGGTTTCTGTGGTTATTCGGGAAGATATGCGTTGAAGGGTTAGTCTGAAACTACTCTATATTCTTTTTCATGGACGATAAAATGTTTTAATCTTCACCGATATTAAGGATAATAATCTTGTTTTATCGGCAAATATAAAATATGATGCATAAAATTCATTGTATAGTCGAAGGATTGGTCCAGTTCTGGATGACCCTGTCGGTGATTTGTCCTGATGACAGCTTAGCAGGAGACTGTACTGAGATGGTAATACAACCTGACACAGTTAATTAGAGGATGTGGCGATGGCGGAGGACCAGCCAAATCTATTGGTCAATCCGAGCACATAATCTCAGCTTACGATATTACGCCATCTATCTACTACCCCTTCCAACTACAGGGCTGGAAGGTGCGGGTTCGATTCATGCTAAAGGTGTCTAACGATGGTGTTTGATTTTGAATGTGGATCTCTTTGTCTTGTTGTTGTTGTTTACTGGGACTTTAAATTTCGGTGTCATCAACGACTGTATTTAATTTTATCACTGAACTATATTTTTTTAAATTTTATTTTAATATGAAATGTAACATTAACCAGAAAATCATAGGAGAATATTAGGGAGCCTTTAGATCTGGAAGAACAGTTGACCAGATAATGGAAAAATGTTATGAATTTAACAGAGACGCACCTTCTCTTTGTGTTCTTCAAATAGGGGCAGGACAGTGTAGAGAGAAATGGACTTTTGAAATTTATGATAGATGTAGGCTTTCTCAAGAAACTTATCAAACTCACAAATATGACGCAGATGAAGACTACCTGTTGAGTGAAACTTGCTAATTCGCTGTCCGAAGAATTAGAGGTGGATAATGGATTGCGACAGGATGATCCTCTATCTCCCCTTATTTTTAATCTTGCCTTGGAAGTGGCTATTCGTTCTATTCGAACAAATCCAGGAGGAACAATCTACAATCGTATGTCTCAACATCTGGCATATGCCGATGATGGTGCCATTATCTTTAAAATCCAAGCAGCATTATCAGGAACTTTACAGGAATTCGAAGGAGCAGCAGCTAAGCTGGGCTTTAGAGTTAATGGAAATAAGACGGTGGATTCGAAAAGTTCAAAAATAGAAAAGGAAGTGAATACGGAAATTGCTTTAAGGGATCACGACTTTAGCTCTGTCGATCAGTTCAGGTACCTTGGAAGCCTGGTCAATAAAGGCCAGGATAACAGAAGGAAATATATGTCATTTCTCACTGCGAAGATATTTGAAATTCAGATCACTGTCTAAAAGAATCAAAATCCTCATCTACGAAATCATAGTAACTCGCTATTTTTAGATATTGGGGATAGATGTAACATTAAACGGTCCAATATTTTTGCAGGCCACCTTTATTCTCGATCTTGTGATCAAACAATCAAATATAACGATTCTAGTGGAAAGAAAAAAAAATGAGTATTCGCGAGTATTTAGTATCTAATTAAATAAACAATGTTTCCCATGACCACATTGAAGCTTTCCTAAATAAAAATTTGTAGGTTATGGTGAGATGAAGCTATTCACAAAGTTTTAGACGAACAAATACATTAGACTGCTGTGGAAAACATATGGTAATTAATATTATTAAATAATATTTACTTCTGTTTGGCTGTTAATACCTATTTTTGCTTTTAAAAAAGAGTAATAAGTGAAATTTGTATGATACGTGCACCGCATCTATTTTTTTTCTCATCCTGTTGTATCTTAATAAAAGTATTAATTAAAAGTTTCTTGTTCCAGCTTTTATAAATGCATTTCCTTTAGTAGAGCTGAGATGAGTTTATAGTATATTGTGCTGGGGTAACTGCTACACTAATTAATTGATAAAAAAAAGGTTATATAATGGTTAATTATTATCATAGCGTTATTGTTCAGTTAATAAATTAACATTCATTCTAAAGTTTATACATTATTAAAAAATCCATATAAAACATGGTGCAGGCGATAGGACACTGTTCTTGGTAATTTTATACTGTTTGGATTGTGAATAAAAAGTGAGTTATTTTTTCAAATACATTAGTAGTGAATTCATTAATATGGAATTTTATAAACCGATCTTGTTGAACGATATGTCTTGAAATGTAGCTGAAAATTTTCGGAGGGAAATACTGGCTACTGAGACCAATAAGAAGAATAGAGAAGTTCAAGTCGGCAGGATGAAAAACCTTATGGAATTGGAGTCCTTTTTCCTACAGCTTTTTCTACTTAACCGTTACTCTGAAAGTAATAAGGACTTATAGTTCTAATTTCGAAGCTCCATTCTGTTGCAAATCTATTAAATTCAAAAGTGGTGGATAAAGAGTTGCAACAAGTGTATTATAATAAATCAGCCAAAAAAGAGGATGCTTTTGGACCAAATGAAAAGATACTTGTTCAAAATATATTTTTGAAAATCAGGGGAAAAGAAGAGGTTATTAATAAATTGTGTTTCAGATCATACTTGATAAAGGATAATGGAAAGATTTATAGGAAAAATTCCGCATTTATTAGAAGGTTTATTGAAAATGCTTCAGATTTAAGGTTCCAGGATCATCACAACAACAGTACTGGAGTTGGTGCAAATAGCGAACCTACTGAAGATAATATTCCCACAGAACAAGACGCGCTTAGAACGAGATCTAGAAGAATTATGAAATCTCCATTAAGGCTCACCTTTTAATCTTCAAGTTAATTTTTAGATCTAAGTTTGTTTCCTCAACTAATTTAAATTAAGTTACATTACCATTACATTTTATATATTATATTATTTCTATAAAATATCATATTTAAAGGGAGAGATGTTTGGATAACTGGCTACACTGAAAATAGAAAATTGATAAAAAATAGATTATATCATGGTTAATTATTATCATCGTGTTATTAAATTAAAAATCTAATTATTATTAAAAATAAAATATAAAACATATCGCGTTTGGGAGTGGTCTATGTCTGTTTGGGAGTGAGAGTCAGGCCACATCTCTAGTCCGTAAGATACTTTCGAAAGGTACTAAGTACAATGTCAATCTTATAAATGTTCTTTATTACTTGAATTCTATTTCAGCTCAAAATTACAGGATTTTTTTTCTGTGCAAATTCGAGATTATTCTCGGATGTTAATGATTTGATAAAAAGAAGTCTGTAAAACGGCCTATTACATTTTTATTCATTTTTTTTACCAGACTGAAACGACAAGAAACCACTCGACGTGTCCGATTACTTCAGCACTTACTAGACAAACGCTCTAAACTTCCAATTAATTACAAAAGACTCATATACATGACTATAATAAGGCCTATTTGGAGTTACGGAGTTGAACTATAGCTGAAATTTCTCTCGTATCCAATCCTTACAATCCAAAATCCTTAGTAAAATCCTTAAGGCGCCTTACTTTGTTACAAATAAAATCATCCATAATTACCTTAATGTTCCTTATGTATCAGATTTGGCCCAATCCAGATATCTGTCCTTCCATAATAAACTTCATAACCGTCCCCACCTTCTTGCTTCCTGTTCAATTCCTGATAGCCCTCCGCGGCGTTTGAAAAGAAGATGACCCCGTGATCTCCTAATATAGACATATTAGAGTGCTACCAATGAGTAGTTTCTCAACATGTGTTTCATGTCATTATATCATGTACGAAAATACTAGATTTATTTTTTTTATACAGTTGTAAATATCATATGAATAATAATAAAAAAATTTAATTAAAATTACTAATATTTTTCATATATTTCTCGAAGAAGCTTCTACTATACTGAGCTAGAAATATTTTATGAGATATGAAGGAACTCCAAGTTTTGGTCTTAGACTTTTGATATTTTCTCATTTGAGGGGGGTGCCTTTCCGAATTTCGCGGATAGACCTTAGAAACAAAGTGATGTAGACATCCCAGGTACACTGTAAACTTACTCCATCGGAGGACGCCGGGTAGAATTTCGGCAAATGCTCGTTGGGCAGCCACGACAGCTGGTAGATATAGAACGGGACGTGTGTTTGTTGAGGACTAACGACGTGCGAGGAAAGACTATTCGCGCTACGTGCTGCCAGCACAATGGACCCTCTCCTTCCCGATTGATCTCTCCCGGCGTACGTGTTTGCGGATCTCCCGGTGCCTCACTACTTTAATTTGCCGGGACGGGTAAATATTTGGCCTGCGCGGATTCGAGTCACGCCCATATAAATCAGTTTTTCTCCGAGCAATCGTGGCTCTTGGCAGCCCTCACACCTGCCCCCTTTCCTGCTGACGAGGCACTTCATAGCTACCTCGTAACTGATCTTATTGCTCGGAACTCAGTTACATTTTGCAGAATGTGGTCTGGCACATAAGTTAATAAATGATGTATCTGGATGAATGAATGAATGAAAACATGTTTTTTTTTTGTTTTTTTTTTATACTGTAATAATGTATACTAAAGCGCTCTCTCTCAAACTCCACTAGCCTTAGCATCAGTGACGTGGTTGAGAGAGAGTAGCGCAGCGATCTCTTGGAGTCCTGCTGTTTAGGGAAAACATCGAAATTCATATTTAAATTTAATTTGAATTAAATCAAGAAACCACATCACAGCTGTTATCTCGAACATACTGTATATGCCTCAGTTGTTATTGTGACGCCGCCATTATTGAAGCATAGACGCTCACGTAGCGTGAGAGATTTACCAGACTGGCCAGTTTAAAAATATGTAATTCCACTGCTTTGATGAATATGGAGTAAAAAACTACAGCGGCCGGCAAGGGGCCAATAAAGGAAGAGAGAGAAGATGAACAAGAAGACTGGCAACTAGAAGAAAAGAGAAAATGCAAGTATCCCAACCCACCTATATTTAACCTCCGTATAAAATTACATGTAATAAAATATACCAATCAATTTTAAATATTCACTTCTTTCATCCATTAACTCCTCTAATTTCACAGTCCACAGCAATAAATTATCACCAGCTCTTAAAGCAGAATTATTATGACAATATCCCTGACAGCCTTGGAAGGGATTGGCGTAGTAAAGTAAACACCTGATTTTCCTTCTATATTTGGAGGGAGAAGCCTGGCTTGGGGTTCCCCGCCTGATTGTACACTGACAGGCAAAAAATTCGACCCACTTGATTTCTTCATGTTTTTATCTAAAAATATTTCTGCTTTGGATTGGTCTATTGTTTTTAATGAATAAATAGATAATCTTTTTGTTTGTTTTCAATTAGGAATGTTAATATAGAGGACAATAACCCTTAATCCTTAATTCAATGAAATGATTCTAGATTCCAATGTTTACTTTCTATGGAATCAAAATGTTTATTCAGTATAATTAGTTCAGTGTCGTTTCTTGCAGCACATTTCTTAGTCTCCGGCTGTTAATTTTTTCAATATTAAGTTTAAAAATGCCTCTTAGTACTGAGGATGTTGCGCGTGGTGTGGCACTTATTGATGATGGACGTTCCGTTAGATATGCAGCTAACGCTACAGGAGTTCCATATGAAACTTTACGAGACTCTGTCAGGCGTTTTCGGGAAACTGGTTCTTACAATAGAAGGCCCGGTTCTGGACGGTCTAGGGTAACAGAACCACGGGATGACCGGTTTTTGACTTTGAGAATTTTACGAATCCTTGGAAACATTGTAATCTAGAATCATTTCATTGAATTAAGGATTAAGGGTTATTGTCCATAACCTACAAGTCCCCTCTATATTAACATTCCTAATTGAAAACAAACAAAAAGATTACCTATTTATTCATTGAAAACAATAGACCAATCCAAAGCAGAAATATTTTTAGATGAAAACATGAAAAAATCAAGTGGGTGGAATTTTTTACCTGTCAGTGTATATATTGTAGATAAATTTGCTTTTATTTATATTATATTTTTGTTCCTTTCTTAATATTTTTACATTATCAAACATGACTATATAGTTATATATATTTTCTACTATATGAATTATTAAAGCTGTATGTTTTCCACTCGTACTAGGTATAAATTATTCAATTTTTATGTTGTTTCAATCTTTATTCTGCAGTGATTCTGTTATGTAATTGTTATACATGAACATTGCGATTAATATATGTTATTATTTTCTTCTATGCTATTATTGTTTTTAATATTATTGCATTTAATTTACGTTTATTTATAGGAAATATGTTGTGAATAAACTCTTTTATCACTAATAAACTCGCTATTACTATTGCAATTTTCTTAATTATGACAGAATGTAAAACAACCCAATAAACAAAAAACAAGGGAAGAAATCGACTTAGAGTGGCCATCATTAAAAAAAAAAAAATAAAATACTGAAAAGCTAATTTCCTTATATTAACAAAAAATATCTTTTTAAGTGATGAAGAGGTTGGCTAACTAGCGATTCCGTCTCAGGCGAAATTAACATTAACCATTAGAGGAAAGCTGCCAATGATATTAATGCAATAGCCTCTCTTTCAAAGGAATCATTAAGTTTCCCGGCGACCGGGTGAAAATGGCCTCCATTTCCAGTAATGAGAAAAAAATATAAATGAAAATGAGAAACGGCGTCTCATTCGTTAAAAGGAAAAAACAGAATAAACGACAATAATTAAGGAGTCAAATTAAGTTTTAATTATTCTCATGATAATTTAGTTCATCTGAGGCGAAAGGCGGGGCGAATAAAAAAAAAAGCTTCTAAATGAGACTCAATTTCCTCGAAGGCTAATTCCGAAAAGGATTAGCCTGAGAGATACCGCTAAGGCGGTGTTTATCTGTCGGAGATGCTTATTGGCCCCATAGTAGGGGGTGTCACCCCTATCGACCAATAAAAAGCCAGCTTATTTAAAGCCTGTCAATAAACTAAAGTCTGATCAGTAAGTAGCCACTCCATTGGCGTACCGATTGATTGCTTCTTTGAAGAAATTAATTTGGACATAGAACTTAATTATATATCGTTATAACGACTATTATAAGTAAAACCGGGATTCATATTTATATTTTTATTTTTTTAAATGATTCAAAATCATTAAGTAGGAGTCATTTTAAATTTTTTTTCAAACTGTCTATTTTCGAATATTAGGCCAAAATTTGTAAATTTGGTTAACTTTATTGCAGACAATTTATAAGACAATCACGTGAAAATAGAGGTGTCCACATGAAAGATAAATAAATCCTAAGATATGTTTCAAATTTTAATTTATCCAAGGCTAAATGAAAATTTAAATAATAGGAATATTTAAGTTGTGACAAAATAGTTACGTATCTATTTGAAGGCAAATTATTGGGGTTGGATGCAATATTCTCACCCACTAAACATTTTTATTGCGTTTGCGCCTATGAGACCCAGGTAATTCCTCTGTCGAATATTAGTACAAGACACTAATGGATCCAGGATTTAATTTTTTTGGGGGGAGAGCTTCAGCCCGAAAGATTTTTTTTTTTGTTTGTATTACGATAATTTCTTCGGAAGAAAAAAAGAAAATAAGTACCTATATGAAATGGTGTTTAAGTGATTCTTTGAGGCCTATCAAATGTAATTAAACGAACGATAATATTTTTAGAGACAATTTTTTTCATAAAACATGGTTAAATGTTACTATTTTGGGGTGAGGGGGCTTTAGCTCGAAAGCTCCCCCACCCAATAGATCCTGAGGTCTAAGATGTATTTTTTGTAAATTTGTCTCATTTAAATTGATATGGTCCGTGGTACAGACTCCTTTTTATCAAATTATTAACATCCGCCTGGAACTTTGTAAATAGCTTCATCTCATCGTGGCCTACGAATACTTTATTTACGAAAATTCTTGAAATTTGGACGTTTTCAATGTAGAGATCGGCAAAATATGTCTAGCTAAATTAGGTACTAAAAATTCATGAACACCAATTTGCTTTTTACTTGAATTGTAAGATAATCTGATCAAAAACATGAACTAAAAAAATATTGGTCCGTTTAATGTGACCTACATCCCTAAAAATTTAAAATAACAAGGTTACATAGGCCAAACGCCCCAATATATTTACAGGCCACCTTTTTTTTCTCCATTTTTTTTATCATATTATCTTAGGATTCAAGTTTAAAGCAATGAGTTTTTAGTAACTAATTAAATAGACAAACACTGCCGATTTATTTATTTATTTATGCATGTTTTGGACTCTTCAACCGCCTGGGTCATTTTCGCCCTATATTACAATTTGATGAATTACTACATACATACCAAAACTATAGCTGAGAAATACAATTTAAAGTTTGAAAAGTTTAGAATAGTTACAGATGATTATTATAGTACAATTGAACTAAAATTATAAAAATTGAAAGTTAAAGATTTAATAGGAGATAAGATAACAAAGACAATAAAAATGAAGATTAATGATATTAAGAATAAAAGCTAAAAAATGCATTTTTAAATAATAAAAATTAATATTAATAGAGGCGGAGTTAAAGAATACAGTGTAAATATTAAAAAGAACAAGAACGATTAAAATTAAACATTAAAGATTAGAAAAAGATAAGTTAACAGTTAACAAGGACATTTTAATAAGAGATTAATGATTTCAGAAATATAATCTAAAAATATGGTTAAAGAAATATAATTATTCTTGAAAGAAGACAAGTTGGAAAGTACTATTTAAATATTAAAAATTACAAGAAGAAGAATTAAAAAAACATTATAGTTAAAAATTATGATTAAAAGAAGAAAAAATAACAGGTATATTTACAATTTGAAGAGAAACCTACAAACTTAAAAAAAATTAACATTTACAATTACAAGGTGTGATTAAATTTTGTGAAATATTTTCATTTCCTTAAGGAACAATATTAAGTTTTTAATAGCATTGGTTTCCTTTTAGAGATTGCCGATTTTCATATTGAAATCGCCCCAATTCTGAGAATTTTCGAGAAAAAAAAAATATTTGTAGGTTACGATGAGATGAAACTGTTTTCGAAGTTTCAGGCGGATGTTATAATTTGATAAAAAGGAATCTGTACCAGGGAATAATAATTTTTGATCAGAACTTATAATAGGTGATTTAAATTAACCGGATAGTCTTTTCGATTTTTCTGTTTGTTTGTTTCGATATCTATGCGCAAAACATCTAGGTCATCACCGCCCGATCAACTAAATAAAATTACTTTTATATTGTTCGGATGGCTGGTACAAAAAATA